CACCTTACTAACCGTACTTAAACCCAATTGAGCACATGTGGGATGGCTAACGGCACCAAATTTCTGCGTGGAGCCTTCAGGACCTGAAAAGTGCACTTTTAAAAGCGTGGCATGCAGTTCCACAAGACCTTGATCAACACTTTAGTAAAGTTGTTGAAATGGGTCTGAGGTGAAATGAGTCTGAGGTATATATATATATATATGTTCGAGATGACCATGCACCATATTAGAGAAAAAGTTTTACCTCAAGAGGTGACTTAATTTTTCCAATCTTTGTCTAGATTCCATAAATTTTGGTTTTAATTTCAATATTTTGTGAAAAATCAACTGCCAAACATTGTAATTTATGTTAATTAATGATTTGTATAAATTTCTATTAATAATTTTTCAGTAAGTATCGGTCATGTTTTATTTACGTTGTTGGGGTTCCACTCTTTTATCTAACAGCTAAATGTGCAGGACCCTCGTGAACAGATAAGCAAATAATTACTTGAGTTCGGGAAGAGAGACGTAAAACTCAAGAATGGTTAATTACCCTTTATTATTCAAAATAAGAATGTACAGTTGGATCTTTTTTCGGAGTGTACCGCAAAGCCTCCACTTGGGCTTGAGCTCAGAGTAATAAAAAATAAAGCTTAACTAAAAGCTATCAAGAAATTTCTAAGTAGTTGGCCCCTAAATATCAGATAAACTGGTGAAGCTATCAAGGGCCTGAAGTAAGGCCGAGCGTAGAGAGACGGAGCCAAAAGGCGAACGTGCGCTAGTCAGAAACTCTGACTTTCTAATGAAGTCAGTGGAACTTCGACTTAAATACCGCACTTCCTCACTTGTAGAAAACGTGATTCTAAAAACACGTTCTGGTAGGAAATTGTAAGCTGAAATTAAGAAGGATAGGAACATAGCTTTAATTAAAGATAACTGTTAAAAACTTAGGATAAACCTTACATCTTTCCCCACCAGAATTCAACTACTCAAGGAATAAGGTCTCAAAATGGCCTTGTTTAAGAGTGTAAATTCTAAACTTCTTAAACTTGAATTTTAAACTTCTAAAACTGTGCATTCTTCAGCCAGTTTCATCATTAAACTTTTCTGTTTAGGGCCAACTTTACAAATAATCTAAAGCTATACTTCATAACAAGCTAACCTGAGAACACGTACAAGGCTAGAACAAACTTTTCACAGCTTTTCACCCTGTTCTTCAAGTTATCCATACACAGCAAACTGCCCGCGGAGATTCAATTCCTCCAATTTGCTACACATTTGGCGACTTCTTGCCAAATCCAGCGTATTTAAAGAACAATCTTTTACCAGTGAAGCTGCAGGGAAATTGATAGTTACATGGTAAAATGTAGGTATGTATTGCTTATTTGTGCCTATTTCACTATTATTAATGTGACAAATACTAATTTGATGATCTTTAAAACTTGAAACCGGAAAAGCTAACAATGTATTCCTTGCAGTTTGGGTCAAATTTTTTCCCCAAGACTGCTCACTTAGTTAAAAGTAAAATATATAAATTTGGAAAATCTTGTAGTAAGCTATTTTCTTTTAATTTTTAAGAGGGCATTTTGTTTTGTTGGTACCAAAACAGTGAACGAGGGGGAAATTTTTATTTTCTAAAGATGTTAATTTGATTTTAATTTGCGATTGTTTTAAAAACTCTGACAATATTTTATAGCAGACATTATCAAAATTATATCCTTTTAATTGCTCTAAGAAACACCATTTCCAGGAGTCTAGAAAAGACAAGAGACAGGAATCCTATCTTTGATTACTATTAAAAAAAAAAATAAAGATAAAAAGACGGAAATGAGATCTTCAATGCGTCACTAAAGAGCGACCATTAAAAATTGAAATATTAGAAAATATTAAGCTTTAAATTGTGAAACAATTAAACTTAAGAATCAAATGAGCTTCCAATTATTCCATTAATTTTTAAATTATACCCTTAGAATGTCTTATTAGTTACACAAGCGCACATCTTCATAAGAACTAAAAAATGATTAAAAAATTAAATTCTTAAGAAGCATTTATTGCTTTAACATTACCATTTAAACGACAGTTGTTGTTTTTAAAATAAGTTTTTCGTTTGAAATGACGTCTATGGTAGGGGCGGAATTGTCTTTTTGCGTGCGCAAAGAATATTGTGCTACATCTCCAATTATAAAAGCAGACTGATTACTCATGAGAATCTTCGAATTATAGTGAATGACTGTAAAGTTTCGTGTGATGTATAAGTTAGGCAAAAACCATAATTTCTTGGGATAAAAAAACAAGCATATCAAGAAAGAAAATCGGTTTTCTTTAGATGGAATACCTGTAAGTCAAGCCCATTAAGATAGGTGCTAAGCCGTGAAACACTTTAGTATCGCAAGTTCGTTTTATAGCTTTTTGAAGCTCTGAATGATAGGAGTCCTCAGTGCCTTTATAAAAAAGTCCTTACCTATAAATTCTCACGAAGCCATCTCTTCCTTCGTGTTATGTTAATTTAATGATCAGTACATCGTTTGATTAGGTTAGGTGATTTGACCTAGCAAGCACACAAAATACAACTAAGGTGAGATGTATTTCGTGGAAAACTTCAAAGAACAGCTCGTATTTACGTTACACATAGGAAAACCACCAAAACCCACCATGAATACCGCTTGCGCTCAAACGATTCAGCGATTTAACCACTCGGCTACTGGTGCGACACTTCCATAGATTTGTTAGCTTTTATTTATAATGTTATTTATAACTGTTTATAGGTCTGCCTTTTTTTTTTTGGCCTTGAAAACAGCTGTTGTATTTTTAATTTGTGGCATTGGATAGGGCTTTTTTTTTTTTACTCAGATATTCAATCCTGCAAAGATTATAACAAGTAATAATATCGTTATCGTATTTCTTAGGAAAATGCCCTCCCGTAATTGACAGTAACATTCAATACGATAATCTTAGCGGTGCTGTTTACTCAGGTTTATGAGGTTTTCCAGCTTTATGAGGTTGAAAATTATACACATATATGTCGAAGCTGAAGCCGAATACCATAACAATTGCTTTTTTCTCCCCCTGGTCAGTGAATGAATGCCTTAATTGCTTTTCTCGTTAAGAGTTGAGTGAGGTCGGGGTTGCTGGAATTTGCAGTTTCGTCAGTAATGCCAAAAAAAAGGGGAATGTCTTTCTGCTCATCATTGAATGATTGACACGATTTAGCAAATTTTTAAACAAAAAGCTGGACGCAACGTAATCTATTGTTTCGCACATTTTTTCCTTCCGTTCTCTTTGTTCAACAATATTCATATATCAGCTTAAATTTACAATTTACTTTCGATGGTAGAACTATATTCTACGGCGGACACATACACTTTCTACTATATCCAGTGTTCTCAACTTAGGTTGACCTGAAGTATAGTCTAAAACTAAGAAAATTAATTTATGAATTTTATAGTTTCATTGGCACAACTATCTGCTTCGTCTTGACATTTCATCTTGGTCCTTCCAAATTATCTTTAAGGAAACAATATTAGTATGTCTTTTACACACATTTCCAATTCCCTTACAATTACTCTTTATTGAAATTCTTTGGCTCTCAAACAGCTTTCATTCACACCTGTTTTAAACTGTTCTTCTCCACTACGCTTTCCAGATATTTGTACTGAATGAAAGCATGTCGTTGTTGTGTTACCGCGGATACACACTACTACTAACCATCACCTATGATTTATTAAAACTCAACATTCAAGACTTTAGAAAACTCCATAAATACAAAACTATACCTACTGTGCTAAAAGAGAGCTTGATTTAAACTGTTAAGTGTAGGCTGGAGAGCCTAACTTTAAACACATTCATTCTGTACTTTCTTTCTATTAACTCATGTATACAAGATTTTTCAATTGCACTTTGACCAAATTTTATTTTACATTTTTTTTTTTTTTCAACTGACATTTAAAATTTCTACTTTCAATACAACATTTTAACATATAATATTTTAAAGTTCATTTTACATCATTAGTTATAGTTGCTATATACAATTTACAATCTTTTCCTTAAATTTAAGTTAACAGTTTTTACTCTTACTTAAGTCTTTCCACCTAAAAGATATTCACAAACTAAATTCTCGCTAACTTGCAAATACAAAAATCTTTTTGTTTAAAAGATAATTACAAACTAAATTCTCACAAACTTGCGAATTGTGATGGTTGTGCATTCCCTTGTTGAATGTATCTAAACATACTCAAACTAGTGCTAATAATGACTAAATGACATGAGCTCTATTCTGAGTTTCCCGTACCTAGTTGCCATATTTGTCTCTTATGGCATTCAAGAACGTTTGTTGGATTGTCTCAGCGAATCGGTCTCTACTTGCATGTACAACTATTACTGCAGAAATCAACAACTATTATCTATATCATAATTACAACTATTATCTATATCATATTCAAGATGTCACACTACAGAAGTGTGCCATCTTGAATATGATATAACAGTTGATGCAAGTTAAACATTCAACACCTGTTCCATTCTTAAATGCACCAGCATATTGCATGGGGTTTATGTAAGATAGTGGTGATTTAGAAGCAGAAGGGGAATGGCTTCACAGCATTTAAAATCTACTGCATTTTTGTAGTTGTTTCTCATTAACCATTTGTATGATACAATGATTTAATTGAGACATTCTGCATGTTATTGAATGTATCTGATGTTTAACAAATAGAAACTTGTCTTTGTTGTGATCATTCTCCACAAATCTGGGCATTATGAACTAGTTATTAATTGTTGTATTGGCATCCATCCTCTGACTATTCTAATAATATAGACATTTCATGTTTTGAAAATTGGATTTTATGATATTTTTGACATGATGACTGTAGCTTAATTTTCTGTCAATTTATTTAATTGTGGTAAATAGCATTAATTATGTCACATTTCAATATATATACACATCCAAGTTTTTAGTTGTTTATTCTTTTTATTTGCAGATACTGCAGTTTTTTTAAGTACTATACATGTATATGTCTGTATGTATATGTATTGAATCATAAAAATTCGGTATATTTTTTACAGATGAACTTGTCGCAGCTGCAGAGATTTTCAAGAGTAGCTGAACAAACTGAAGCAACTTATAGGCAGAAACTTAAAGAGGTAAGTTAATTATGAGTTAGTTTTACATATATATATTATCTTGAACTTTACCAACATGTTATGCATAATTTTGTTTATTTTAAATGTTTATTTTGTAAGTCTAGAGAAATGGTAGTATTTTGTGGTGTTATGGATTGTCACAAACAAGATTTCAATGATTTAAACATTAATTTTAATTGTTTTTAATTTAACATTGGTTTGCACAGCAATGCATTTTAAACAGATTATTTTATGCTTGTATTAAAATTGATTAATATAATTTTGCTAAATGTCGATGTATGGGATTCATGTGCTAGCAAGACATGTCCACCTCTGTCAGCTGCTTTTTGTGTAAGAACGTTATTGGAAAGTAACACCGTAATGAGTCTGATTTTAGATATTAAAAGAAGCAAATTGGTTTTTTAATAGGTGACTGTGATTTATGGAAGATGTAGAATAATATTGCTTACTCCTGTTTATAATTTATTTTTATCTGATTATAAGCAACTTTTAAAATTCTTGTTCACTACTATTATTTTCTCTTAAACCATCTAATTAATTCAAAATTCTCTATTATTTCTAAATTGTTCATTACTTTATATACTTTTCAAAATTTATCCTTACTACCATTACTGTTCGAAGTCTGATAGTTGTTTTCTCAGATAATTTTTCTTTTTTAAAGTTACCATGTGTTTTTGTGCTATCTATTAATGGATACTGCCATAATTTCTGCAATTCTGCATTTAAAACCAAGCTAATGTGTATGACTGCTCTTCATGACTTACTTGCGAATATGGAGTTGTGTGCACTGCAGCTGAGTTATATGCAAAGGAAACATAAAATAGTCATGTGAAGAAGCTCAAAATTGCCCAATATGTTTTATTTCTAGGTTCTGTTTTTGGCATTTGACTAGGTTGGCTGCATTAGGTTTTCATGGTTATCCTTAGTATAATGCGAGTATAAGACAAGTGCCTTTAAAATGTCTTAAACAAAGGCATTAGTTCTTTTAGGCAAATAACCCTGATATGTTTTGCTGCAATCAACTCAGATTGATAGCAGTATTTTACCAATCCCATAATTATTTCAGGTGTTTTAAAAATAAGAGCTAGAAAATGAAACACAGTGTGAAGTTATATGAAAATAAACTTTTAAAAATAGGAGAAAGAAAAAAAAAATCATATTCTGGGTGAAAAGGATACATTCTCATCTTGTTCTGTTAATTTAAATTTTCTACACTGTCTGGAATTCTGTTTATGTTTACAGGAAAGGAGAGGCTGAAGGCAAATTTCATTAACTCTTCTCTGACTATAAACTAAAACAGAAAAACTATCATTTTTCAAATAATTTGACTATTGTATACAGTTAAGTAAGTAAAATTCCCATTTAAAATAAATGTTTTATTTTTCTACATAAATGAGCTTTCTAAAGAAGGATGCTTTTAGAGAGCTTTTGAAGATGTAGCTGCTGAATAATGATTAGTTGTTTTCAGTTTGATTGCTCTTTGACATCCATGATCATGGAAGCACTTTGCTGGCTGACAACACATTCTTTCGAGATGTTCTCCATTTATATCATAATATGAGCTAGTTTTTTTTTAGGAAACTTTTGATGAAGGAGATACTTTTCAGGCTTGGTTGTAATTAATTAATTTAGCTACTACCAAATGAAATAGGAGTTATTAGACGACAGTATTTCTTTGGGTATTTGTCCAATAAATCTGTTGTAGGAACTTTTGTTTAGAGTTTTCTGAAAGATAATAAACATTCAGGCTATTTTCACCATGTATTGATATACTTTGAAAATATAAATTATTAATTAAACTTTTACAGTTAGCTTTGAAAGATATGCCAAATAATGCAAATGTAAATATTGAATTGAAATTCTGTTACAATTTTCACTGAACTGAGTTATCTGTACTTGAATGAGGGTTTAAAAATTTTCTCAGTTACTTTAGTGTATTATTCCTATCACATGTTGTAATAACTATATAGTTTGATTATGAAATTGTACTAAAAAGTTCTTCCGAGCATATGCTTTGTAAGTGGTTGTTTATTTTCTTTTGAAAGTAACTTTTTTCTCGTGCTTTTGCAGGCTATAAAAGAAATAAATAAGGTGAAAAGCAAAAAACGTGCGAAACTTGTAATATGTAAGCAACATGAAACGTTGGAGTTTAAGCGTTTGGCAGCTAAAGTTGAAGCTGTTATTTCGAAACTTCCTACTGCCATTACTAAGGAACAGGTAGTTATCTACTTTTTTAAATGATTGGTTAATATCACTGTGCATAAATATTATCTAACTCAGTAGGTTCACATTTTTCTGTTAGGAAAATTGAATTGTTTTTGTATGTCATAACTCATAATTTCACTTCATTTAGAGAATTTACATAAATTTGTATTGTGATTTTTCTGTTTGCAGTGATATAGTATTGATACAATATGGGAAATTAACACGTGTATTAACTGCTTCTTGTGATGATGGAGATGGACTGACAAAGATTCGATTACTTCAATTAGGCACATTTTATTTTCAAACATCATTATATACAATGGGTTGCACATTCAGTGGGCAACTCCCTATCATTTGTCTGACTAGCGAACCGCCTGAGATTAACCTCGCTCAGGGAAAATGAGCATTCTATGCCCTCTATCACTAAAAGTTTCTTCACTTACTAGGGTACCATCTGTTGACATTTTGGCGAGCAGTTTGACTTTCATCATGTCCATTATATGAGTATCCCACAGTGAGGGAACTTAAAATGAAGAAACAACAATATTATAGAGATAATGAGTTGATTTCTATGGAAAATAGATATTCAGTTTTTTTTTGGGGGGGTTTACGTAGGAGTGGATCATTGGATATTCTTAACAAGACAAATTTTGATTACATGCATGTAAATGCAATTTGAAAAAATTAATGCCCACAAAAAATCGGGGGGGGGGAGATGTAAAAACCCAAAGATGAACATGAATTATCAAAATAAGAAGTAAATGAAAATGTTATGATGATTGTAGAAATAACACAGTCCTACTTTCACTGCTAAAATTGTTCATCATGCATGATCTCAGCAGCATATGTAGCCAGCTATAGAATACAGACATTTTTTATACTGTGTAAAAAATATGTTTCTTTTACTGGGGGGATACATATGCTGCTCACTATTAAACATTTTATCATTTTTATGACATTTTAAGACACACTCAAAACTCAGTAATTTACAATACTAAAATTTATGTTATTTCTATTATAAGAACAATAAAAATATGAAAAAGATTAAAATATTTATAAATACAAACTAATTTCAACCTTTTTTTATATACCATTTTGAGGTACTTTTAAAAGTATGAAATTATGACACAATAAAAATAGAACTAAAAAATTGTTTTTCTAATTCATACAAATATTCCCCATTATTCATGCCTTTATAATTGAATATGTAATTTCCTTTATTAATGTACTTCATCGCATTTTCAGGAAGTTTTACATGGCATTTTTTAAGATAATACTCTTTTTCTTTACCATCTGCATCTATTTTTACAATACATGTATCTCCATATTTAGCTTCAATTTTTCTCAATAAGATCAGATTTTATCTCTCAGTCTGTAAATCATTCAACTTCAGTGTTTTTAGGATGATATCCGAGACTACTGAATCCATCTATTTATTTCGTTAACACTCGTTTAAAGGCTTCCTATTTAGGAATATTTTTTTATTTAAGACCTGAAATAATATTTTTCTAATAATAGAAAAATTACCTGAATATAGTTATTATATTCTGAATGTCTTGACATATGAATAAATACTTTAGGTTTACAAGATATATAATAAAATCTCATGATTTTATTAAAACTCCATAGACAATATTTTACAAGGCACAAATAATAATCTTCCAACATGCAGGTATGTAATGTATAAAGAATACTTTTTCCCTAAATTATTATTAATTTCTTCTTAAATGTAATTATATAATTTATAAAAATGAGTTAATATAAGGAAATTTATATCCTGTTTATTGGTTTATTGTTCAATTCTGTTAAAGAATTTCAAATAAGGATGAATAGTAATACCATTTTTTGCTCAAACTTTTAATTTTAACACACAACCTAGCTTAATGTAAAATATTATTTATCTTTAGGAATAACTGAACTGAAAAATATTTTCGTCAACAAATTCCGATTATTTTTCAATTATTTTATCTATTGAAAATATGATTCTAACATCCCCTTCTATTAAAAATTTAGAATCTTTATTCAATATTCAATATTTTGTAAATTTAGATAGCTTAATATTAGTCCATTTTTTATCACAACGAAGTGTAATGAAACCAAACAAAATAATAACATATAAAGGAGTTTTATTTATTAACATATAAAGGAGTTTAAAAACGAATTTTTTGGTTGCAGCATATTGATCTTTTGGATTCCCAACATTTTCTCTTTTCCCTTTTGCATCGATAACATCTTTTAGTATGTGAATATTTATCTTCTAATTTATTTTTACATTCTGGTATGCTTTTATTTATTTGTTTATCATCGGATGTTTCTTCATTAAAAGCTTCTATTAGGGCTTTAATATGTCTTGCATTTTCTTCAAAATTTAGCAAACCTGTATCTAGTTTCTTAGTTTTTTCAATTCATTTTTTAATTAAAAACAATTACGTTCTATATATTGTAATACAAATTCTCTGTTAGCAGTGTCATGATTATCGACTAGATTTAAAGGTTTTTTTTTTAAATTTTATTCTCCATATCATAATTTCTGTCATCCATTAATTTAAAACCAATACTATAATGATCTGTACATCCTTCTCTGATTTCTTCATCAACAAAAGGTGGACAATAAGCTGCCTTTTGCTGTAAAGATAATTTTAGTAATTCAAAAAATCTTTTAAAAATTCTGCACAACTCCCAAAATATCACATATATATACTATTTGCATTAAAATTATCTTTTGTATATTTATCTTTCATTCTTATTTCCACACAATCATCATTCATAAAAATCATACTTAAACCTTTAATCTTATTTCATATAATCTTTATTCTTATTTAATACAATTTTTTAAAATATTCCAATTCTGTAACATATTCAGTATGTTTCATATCTTGATTTTTTTCTATTTTGTCTAATTCTATACCTAATTCTTCCTTAACGGCGCTTTTATGTTCTTTTTTATTTTTTAAATTACTAAAACTATTTATCATCTGTTTCTAATTTGATTTTATAAAGCATTTTAACAAATCCTTTGAATAAATTGTTTTCATTTTAAAATGCGAAACTTCATATATATTTTAAAATTTCACATGCTTTTTTAATAGCGATTGTCTTTTAGAAAGGCAAAGCAAGTTTCCAGCAGTTTGGGTTTCCAGTAACCTTGAGAATCGCATGTGCATGTGCAGTGCATGTTGAACTAAACAAAGTGCTTATCGTAGTATAAAACGAAATTGGTTTAATCCTAGTATACGGGTACCATGGAGGTTAGAATCAAAGAATATGTATTGTTAAGAAGAAAAACTCTGCAACAAGAGTGGCTGCATTCCAGTGTAGAGGGAAACAGTTGCACATGCACGAAATAGTCGCCAAAGCTCGAAGCTGGTGTCGAATTTCGAAGGTCACATTATCAAGAGTTCATAAAATGAATATTGTTTAAAATTTCTTCAAACTTTAAAGGAAAAGAAAATATTTTTTTTTTGCATAAGCTAATTAATTAATGAATTAGTTATTTTGAGGGGGGGGAAACACTACGAAAATCCGTGTTTAAGTTATTGCGAAAAGTCACAGAAGAAACATTTTTTTCTTAACACGTGTTCCTCAATTTCCTGTACAATTCTCGCCACCAAGTTCCTTTGCCAAATCACTTGGTGAATTTTCCCTCCGCTTTCTAGCAGCGTAATAGCATTACATCTATGGAACATTTCTTTCTTTACATAGATGTTCTTTGGTTAGAATAGCCTCCACGTATTCTATTCTGATCTTCATGTACAGTACACATGAGATTTGGCAACATTATGATGAGCAGTAAATGGGTCATTTAGGTGCTGGTGACAATTTTCAAAATCGTGCCAAAGCCTTAGCATATACTAGGATTTTACTGCAAAATCTTTTAAACCCCCCCTTTTTTTTTCTTTTAAATAAATGCCTTATTTGTCATATTGCAGTAAAATAATAAAATAGCAATCAGTCATCTAGGCAAACCATTTAATATAACTTCACTAAATTATCATTGATTATTCTAATTCAGTTTTTAAGTAATTGTCTTATTTTTATGTTATTTGTATCATTTAATGTTGCTTTCTTCCCTCTAAATTTATTTATTATTAGTAAATAATGCTTTCAAATTTCAGGAAATTTTCTCTCATATAATCCTGAAATTAATTCTAGCAGTATGATGACATACCATCACGAAATTTAATGCACATATTTTTTGCTTATATATGCTGCTAAATAAATATAAAATACCTGAGTTTATTTACAAATATCATTAAATAGATTTCTTTCTTTTGTTTAGCTGCAAAAGCAAGACCTTTTTTAATCCAGATTGGGCAGAGTCTAATCTCAATCTTTAGTGGAGAAACAACTCGTATTATAGTTATAATAGTAATGTTTTGGAATTATATATATATGCATATATATATGGCAGATTTTTGTGTTGTCAAGTAATACCATAATCAATTTACTTCTTAGAAGAGCCAACATGCATTATGCGGATAGACTGGAATTTCTTAAAACACACCTGGAAAACCTGGGAATTTCATTCTCCTCTTTGAGTGGCAACCCTGAATATCTCATTTTTGGATTAACTAAATTTAGCATAAAGAAATCATGTTTTCATTACAAATCTGCCTATTTCTCTCATAATCTATTGAATTTCTCTTGGTTGAAACTTAAGAAATATAAAATAATTAGTTATTTCTCATAGGTGTTGAATTATAAGCTTATGTTTTATATATATATGTAAGGATTACATTTATCATTCTACCCATGATAAGAAAAATCTTGAGTAATTTTTTTGGTTTTCCTCAGTTACACAGTAATCAATAATAATTAAATTTCTAAGTGGTGGATCTAATTCATCTAGAGTATTAAATAATTTAAATCCGAAGTAAATTTTACTTCTTCCTTTTTAAATTTATCATGTAATTTTAATAATTTTTTCTTAATTTTTCGAAGGCCAAGGACTTTTGTCTGAATCCTTACAACTTATATCCTTTTCTATATCCTCAAGCATAGTACAACTTTTG